GTAGCAGCCAGTTTCCTGAGCAAGATGCTTTCATCCTTCCAGTAAATGGAGGTTTTGTATTGTTTTTTTCTTTTACTCTCTCTACTGACAGCTATTAGCTTTTTAATTAGGACAACACATCCAGTTGCACAGTTACATCCATAATAACTAGAAGTAGATCAGTGCCATAACCTAAGAACTCGTTTAAAGCACTTGCTTTTGCAGAATACCTGTTCAGCAGCAGGTCAGTGTGCAGACAGATCTGCCTCTTATTAAGAGTACCTTTTTTGGCTTAGTCCACTTTAAAACCAGCCCTGTAGCCAGATTTTTTAAAAAGCCCTGTAGTCCATCATCTTATATAGAGGGAACTGTATTTTAAGTTACATAATGCTGACACACTCATTTTCTATTTAGATTCCAGAGTCGCTGTCACAAAAACATTTTTGTTTCCTCCTGTTGCTGCCAGCTCCCTTAGGAATGACAGCATTGGCAGTAACACTAGCAGTAACAGTAAGTACAAGTGATTGAATTAATATATGTGTCTCCATTTTGTTCTGGTAGCTGTTTGTTATGAGAGCTTAGAGGAAAAGAATGTCATTAATTGTGCAAATTAATGGGAAGTTACTTGTGCCTGATGGTATGCCATGTGTTTCTCAGCTGTCATACTGAAATGCAATGAACTAATCTAATCAAAATTTAGAGATGCTATCAAGTTACAATGATGTGACAGCTCTTTACAACTTGGAGAGGGCAGGTCTCTTAGTTTTGGCTGTCGTGAGGTCTCAGTACTCATATGGCCTTGGCAAACTTGGCTGTCCCAGACACCTCATTTTAACTCTCAGAAAAGGAAGTAATTCCAAATAGTCGGAATAGCTGTCCAAAATTGGGCCCAGGATACTCACATGGACAAAGAGTTTGGCTGTACATTACATTGCATTGTCAATCCCAAAGTTGACACCAAACCTGAAGATAGTCCTCACATTTGTTTGCTGTAGTCGCAGTAGGGACAGCTCCACAGTCAGCATGCTTTTGGTTCAGGTCGAGGACAAAGTCACTACACTTTTGGCAGACTGTATTCTTCTCTCTGGCATGGCCATCTCTGTCATGTGTCTTGGTCAATGCATTATGTGACTGATCACTGACAGATAAGAGAGCCTAGAACTGCTGCTCCAAGAGCCTCAGCATTACTCATCACAAGTCAGAAGGGATATAGGAATCTGAGGTTAGGAGAAGCAGAGGAGTTTTAGGGGCTTTTAGTGACATCATGTACAACAAGGTGAATACTTTCTGGAGTTTTCCGTGTGAACAAAAGAAGGTGTTTTTCCTTAGAGGTTCCTGAAATGGTGATTAAAGCTTAACTGTGGTGTTGTTTCCCTTGTTCCTGTTTCCCAGACAGGTCAGGATGACAGTGTGTATCTCTTTTACAATTTCCTCCTTTCACTTCACAAGCATCCGTGTTATCTAAATGTGTGCTGATGAAGTGTGTGGCTGGCACTCCTTGTGCTTGAGTAAACATGGGCAAGGAGGCAGCCTGATGTAGCCTGGTGGACATGATGGTAGCTCCTGATGGTGGGACAGATAGTACTAAGACTGGGCTTCTTCTTACGCTCCTTCTCTTGGGAATCTGTAATCTAGTTATTCTCTGGGTTTTTATCACCATGCATGCTACCTCTTAGCTGGCTCACAGCTGCTGTCAGATTTGAAACCCTTCCTGATTGCTTTCTAATTAAGAGAAGGTCTTAAGTCATCATTCCCCAGTACCCTTTGAGTAGAAGGTTGGAACAAAACCCACCTTTGACTCCTGGCTTTCAGCCTGCCTCTCTGGAAAAGAGAAGACTTGCTGCCATAATTTACTTGTCAAGAGGTCACACAGCTGGCTGCAAATAACCTGAGGAGCCAGGGCCAATTATGAGGCACCAGGAGGGGGGCTAAAAAGCACATTCCTGTTTCTCTCAGATCTGAATATGCAATAATTTTTGCTGTTGCTACTAGAGGAAGAATATTCAGCTACATGCTGAAGTGATAGAAATGGATTGAGGGGCCTATAGAAAGTCGGATTACAGGAGCAGTTCAGATGAAAGGAGTTTGATCCAGCATAGTAGCAGGAGGGATGCCAGGCAGTGCAGGGGTGTGCCACCTGTGTCTGTGCTGTGGAGGGGAGTACAGAAGCAGGTTTATTAAGCAAGTAGGAAAAAAGGCTAATTAAAATAATGCAGTAGGTCAAAGAAGTTGCTTGGCTGGCCATATGCTGTACAGGTGTGTTTTAACTGATTATCATTCTCTTAAGCAATTTATTGGAAAATTGGATATCAGTTAACAGCCTTATGTAGAAGCAACATGGGGACTGCATGTCTGGGGCTAGGGACAGTTTGAACCTGTAATCAGATTAAATCACATTAACTTGGACATTGGATGCTGACTGGTTACACTTTAGTTATTTGTTTGGAGTTTTTTGCAGGGATAGACCTGTGGCATCTTTATTGGTATCTCTGTCTTACTACCTGAAAATGGTCTTCAGTACTGGTTTTAGTTTTGTCTTTGCTTTATGACAGAGTTTTCTATTTTAGTGAAGTTTTCTTAGTTAAGTTTTTTATTTTGGTTCATCCCTACCTTCTTGGAAGGAAAAACAACGAATAAATCTTATTACTTCCCATGTGAAGACGCCTCAGCACTGGGGACCCTGTCTGCTGGCTTCAAGGCTGTTCTCAGAATGGCACCACTAGATTCAAATTTCCAAAAGGAAAACATTTGGAGAAGAGGAAAACCTGAAAAAAGCATCTCCAGACAGAAACTACTGCATTTTTTTAAAATTACCCTCTTTAATATTAAATAGTTTTAAATTGAGCTTTCTAAAATTCATGGTTTCTAGATTATTTAGAAGCATTCACTGTTTGCAAAAGAACCCCTCCAGATTAATAATAAATTTTGAATCTATTAATAAAGCCTGTGTACTCACATGACTTGAACTACTCTTAGGTCTAAATTCAACTTAGACAAACCTGAAGTGCATAATCTAATAAAATAATTTGTGAAATAATTATAATAGAAATTGTATATAATATAAATTAGCTAAATTACATGTTTTTTTCATGTTATTGCTCCATTTGTTGAAAGAGTCATATTTCATTACTTCATTGCTATTACACAACGATAAAATTAAACTATTTTAATAGAGTAGAACCTTGACAAAATCTACACCAAAAGTCTTTCTTACTGCCACTGATGTAAAATGTAAAAATTGTCCCATTCAATTTTTTTTTACATAATAATAGTGCTGTTTTCATTCTTGCAGTGCTGAATGTAGATCTGTGGCATGTCTTCGCTCCATCTTTTCTACCATAATATTCTCAAACACCCTACCAATTCTTGTTTTCTTCTCTTTCTGTTACATGACTGTAGTCCAATTTAAATTCCAATTAACTGTTGAAGTCCCAGTCTCATTAGTTTTTCTATACATTATTATACCATGCAGAGCCTAGAGAATTCAGATGAGATGGTTCCTTTGTAAAGAACAATTGTCAGGATAAGAATTCCTGAGTCCTGCTCTCTTCTTTCAGTGGTGGAACCAAACAATAAATAGTAGTCTTTTTTTTTTTTTTTCCCCCCACCAGATGAATCTCAGGTTACTCTGATTAAAGATTAAACTTACTAGCTATTACTGACACTTCTAACTCAATATAATGCCATAGTATTATTTATATTTTTGTGGAAAGTTCAGTGTTTCTTTCTTCCATTTTTGCCTATAATTTCCTCACAGTAATTTAGCTATATTATTCAGTACTGAGCAGCTCAAAGAACATGTAAACACAGAGATTTCTGTAAGTGTTTTTAGGAAGAAGGTCTACGTTTATAATTAAGCAAAGAATACCATAGTTTAATTCAGTAATTACACAAAAATTTGAAAATGTTCACCCATGTCTTAATGGTGGTGCCTTCCATGCCTTTGTTCCAGCTTTATAGTTGATATAATGAACAGGTGAGAACTGCTATAAATTTTTATAGATAAGATCTTGTGGTAATTGTGTTGGAGCTGAGTAGAAGTAAAATGAAAATTCCTTTGAGACATATATGGCAAAAAACTGAGCCAGTGCTTTGAATCATAATTGGTTGCTATACCTGCATACATGGCTCAAGGTGGAGAACAGCTCAATAACTTCATTGTGTAGCTGAGTGACTTTTAATGTAAATGTATTTTGTTCACAGCGTAATATCCCAATGTCCATGAAGACTATGCATAACTCCACATCAGATAAACTCAATTCCTAAGGGTTTCTTCCACAAGGTGCAGAGTGAGAGCTCTGAGAGGTGCTGGCCTGCTTCCACTCCCATTTGGCACCTTGCTGGATAGAGTCTATTTTAAGTGAATAATATACTAACTGCAAAGCCAACAGTTCCTCTGGTGTTGCCCAAGGAGTTCACAAAGTTACTGATACACCTGGCTACTCCTATTCCTTATCCTGCTCTGCCTTTACAACTGCTGGGAGTGGGAATCTTTCTGTGTAGAGCTCGAAATTTTTTACCAGAGGAAAACGTCCCTATGGAAGAAATAAAAACCTATTTGCAGCCAGCTTGCTTTCCTTATTTCCCTTTTCTTCATTAGGACAGAGATATCTGGGAGATCCTTCAGACCAAAATTTCTCCAACTTGTTCTGTTTTAGATGTTAGTATAAATAAAAGGCACATGAGGAAGCCTGCCATTTCGTTCTCCATGACTCATTTTATTCTCTCCAAATCTTTCACGAGTCTTTTTTTCTGGACTTGGGTTATTTAACTTTCAAATTAATTCATACATGCTCAAGTTATGAAAAGAATCTGTTTCCACTTTTAAAAGGTAGGCTGAAGAGGGTGTCACAATTTGACTGTATTTAGATTCTGTCCCTGGGTTGCATGTCTCCACCTGGAAAGCTAATTGTCTATTCCTTTTGGTTTTCCATAGATTTGAAGAAAGCATTTGCATTGGAGGTACATTCTCAGAAATGAGATTTTTCCACTTTTAGATACCTCATTGTAAAGGGAGCTCTGCTGTTGCCTAATTCTTTAAAGTTTGTGAAAAATTGTAAAAATGAGGGTGCTAAACTATCACTGATCACCCTGCCTACAGAATGTTTCTCTGTAAGTTCACTTAGAATTCAGTATGCTTGCCATGACATGCTGCTTAGCATTGCAGAGTAGGCAGAGTAGGATTTTTGAGGTTATACAGTCTACCATAACATGTTATCAAATAAATTATGCTCTGTATGACCTCAGGAGTTTTTCCTTTGATTTTTTGTTTCACTTTTCCATTTTTTTTGAAGTTTGCAGGTCCCAATCCAGAAAACATGACCATCCCCATAGGATTTATATAATTCAGTTGTATAACTCAGCAGTCTTTCATTGCGATAAATGGCCAATATGATTATGCAAAGCAGTGTTGCATTTTTCTTGACTAGAGCACAAGAGCAGTATAGGATTTTCTTCTGAGAATATGCTGAAAATACAATTCAGATGAAGTAATGACAGGAATTTTTTTGAGATGTTCAGGCTGGTTTTAGCCATATTCAGTTTGTCTGGATTTCTTGAAGGTCAGTTCTGCAAGTAAAGCTCCTCTTTGCCTAATCTGCGACAGATAGTTTTAGAAAAGATATGCCCCTCCAGGTAATTTCAGTCCTTGATTTTAATATCCGAGCAGACAGAGACAGACTAATTGACAGCCTCTTTTTTTCAGCTGATGTTCACCTCTGTATATCTTTGTCTGCTACCTTTCCCTTCTCTGTAGATAGATTTCTTTCACGGCAAGCTAGCATCAGTTCTGCTTGACTGATGTTTCCTTTTAGTGTGCCAAGTCTGATGGATGTAAGTAAAATTCAAGTCCTTACAGTCAGAACCTAGAGTTTGTAAACAGTGAATGAGAGAGAGAAATACATGTAGTGTATGAGCATGTAAGATACACACTTTTTGTTTTCTTACTTTTTAGTCCTTTTTACTGTGACTCCAGAAAGCATAGCTGAATTTCAGGGATAAAAAGAACATTTTTATAAAAGCTTGCAAAATGACAACCAACAAATCTCAGAGGGTTGAAAATGAGTTGCTAGTTAATTATGAGAATGCTCTTTTCTAAACTAAAGTGTTTTCTTAGAGGCTGTTTAATAATATACCGAACACACATTTCTTGACCCAGTATATCATACTGTACATGCTTAAACATTTGCTGTTTGCATGAGTCACACATTTCTAGTGCTACCAGTCCATTTTAATTTCAGTATGTATTCATCTACACTTTCTCAGTGCTTACAGTTTGGTTCTTTTCCTGTAATCTGACAATACACCTACCATTCAAGCTGCAGACACCAAATCTTGAAATGAACTAAAATGAGGTGGATGGTGTCTAAACTAGCAGTTTCCTGTGGCTCACTTTGCATTTCAGAAGGTGGATCCCAGGGTGACTCTGTAGGACTTTTCACATCCTGCTCTTGATAAAATAACTGGAGGGCCACATTTTAGTCTCAGCATGCATATAGCTCCCTGTGGGAGGAGTGGAATTGCTTGTGTACATAAAATACTTGAATTGGGTCTCTTCCCTATAAAATGTGAAAAACTCTCAAGAAATAGTTACAACAAAATAACACACAGGTAGACTTCAAGATGCATGGGTTTGATCTTACTGAAGTCACCAGAACCTTTCCAGACAGACGTTAGAAGTGAAGTCAGGCTTATTTTGTTAAATTAACCTCCCTCGGGAGACCTTATGTTGGTCATTCGTTAGTGGCAAGACAAAGTGGGATTTATCTGCAGTGAGTGGGATGTGTCTTATGGAACTTAAGCAAATGCACAAAGTGACAGATATATTCTTTTCAAAGAATTACTTTGTGTTACAAAATAATACCTCTAAAATTTGATTAACCCAGAACTTTGAAGTGCAGGAAACAGAAAATTCTCAACAAATGTCAACAAGACAATCAATGTTGGAACTATTCGACACAGTTGTTTCAGAAATGGAAGGAGCATCCTTGTGGTCAAAAACTTTGTGAGATTTTGTATGAAGTGCATCTCATGTATGCAGCACTTCAAAGTATCTATTCTGCTATTTAAAATGCTGTTAAGTAGGTGGTGCATAAAAGTACTCTTGCAATAATGTTGCCCTGAAGATAGTTTTCTGCTGTAAATCTGCCTTCTCTAACAAGAACATATGTAATTACAGAAGAGGCACTTGGCTTCATTAGCAGCTCAAGCCTGCAAGGGATCAGCATAGCACTGACATCATTGCTGTCTCTTCTTATTGGCTTTATTTTGGGAGCCATATTCTGGAAGGTAGGAAATATTACATTTAATTGTTTACATAGTGATAGTACATTTCATAGCTGGGTGGGGGCTAGGAAGAGCAGAACCATTCTGCATTTGAAAGCAAGAGACATCTCTTCTGATCATCACTGAACTGTGTGGCATGCAAGTGTAAATGCATGTTGTCAGATTCTTGAATTCCACCACCAAAGTGCAAATCCTGTCTTACCAGCATGATAGCTGTCTAATTAGAAATTAAAAACATGGGATCCCCCCCCAATTTCCTAGTTCTATTACATCTTCAGAAGAGGATTCTTTTGCTTTTGCCTCTTGTGCCTCTGCCTACCATGCAAAGGCTGTAACAGTAAAATTATACCAGTAGCAGATGTGTGTTAATTTGACCTACATTTTGCAAGTTGACTTTGATATTGAAAATCTGAAGCAAACTGAAACATACAACAATTGTTTAGGGAGCTGTTAAAGAGAGCTTTAGAATATTTATATTTAATGCATTTTCTTCCTAGAAAACACATCCCAAATCCAGACCAGAAAGTGATGAAAATACACAGTGTCATGACTGTCAAGAGGAAAATGAGATAAGGTATGTTGTTCCATTTTATATATGTATTTGCAAATTTAAGTTTTTATTTGAAAGCGACTTCCTGAAAGTTTCTCTCTAGCTCCGAGACAAATACAGGAAAAACCAAACACAAGGTCTTGCTATAGAGGCAAAATGTGTGCTTAGCGTGTGTCCTTAAAAAAGCTTCTAGTTAAAATATAAAAATTGATATGGAGGAGATTTCTGCATGCAAAGTTTTGTTAAGGGGACACTGTCTTTACTTTATCTGTCCTTACTCCCACTGTGAGATAGGATTGCTAAGACCTATAGGGGAAGTAACAAAAAAATGAGGTTTTTATCTACTCTGTACTGTGAAGTTAGGTTATATTATGTAAATAAATAGAAAACAATGTCTTCCTGGCTATGCTCATATATAGTTCTAAATATATTTTGCGTTAACATTTTTTTTTGTTCTTCCACATTTTCACATTCCCAGGGGTATGTGGATACAAGCATCTGTGTTTTCCAGGGGTTTTTTTTAATGTTAATGGGAAGTTAATGAGATGTCATTCAAATCCTAATAACTTCCTAAGGTCATCCTGATATGATTCAGGGCTCTATTCATACTCAAACACTGCTTTATCTGATTTTTAAGCACAAAAAAATTTGAGCAACTCAGTCAATTAAATATACCTTAGAAATAACTGGTGTTGAAGACATTCAAAGTTGCTTGGACATGACTTGGGCAAAGAAGTCTGTGAAATTCAGGAAAGGACTTAGAGATATTTGAAGTTAGAATAGTTCATGGTAAAGCATTTTGAGAGTATTATTAAACCTCATATTTCAGAGTGTTTGGTCAAATTTTAGCTATGAGGGATTCAGGGAAATATCTGATGCAGATGGCGAAAGGACACATCTTACCTTGTAGGCTTCTCACACTGTATGAAATGCCTGGTGCTGCCTGCTGTTGAAGGCAGAAATAGGTGAGATTCTGGTCTAGAAGGTGAAATTTTCACCATTTAAACTTTCTAGAACAATACATGTGCAGTACATAGAATGGAAGACTATATATTGAACAAGTATGTTAGTTGCTACAAATATCTCATCCTGCACTTCATCCTCACAGGTGCTAAAACTTGTGAAATAGAACAGGCATCTTCCTTTTAACTTCACAGGAAGTGTAAAACATTGCTTTATAGGAAGGAAAGTGAAAAGAGGAAACAGTTAAATGCAGGAGATGGCCTTAACAGGAAATATAAACAGGTTATATTCTTCATGAGATGTCTTCTTAACTATATTCCGTATGTTTTTTTCTCTTTTCCGAATGAGAAATTTGTAATATTCATCTATAACTAGGAAGACCTAATAGCAAACATAAATTCTAATACTTTGGATTGCCTTTTTTATAACTAACTGACAAACCGTTCCATTCTGTTTCATCGAAACACTAGCATTGCAGTAATAAAGTACCTTTTTTTTCCAGTATGTTGCAGCAGAAAGAAAAGGAACATCTACAAGTGTAGCTGTTGCTTTTTCTCCCTCCACACTGTTACTGTTTCATGTACTGGTAAGTTCTGGTTGAAAGTCTTACCATAGGCTTCATAACTTTTGGCTGCTGAAACAGAAAGTGATTCAGAGTCCATTTTGGGAAACGAATAACGTAAAACTTGTTATAATCAGTAGACTTCGCTTGTACCTGAGATCTTTATCAGCTAATGTAATTAATTCTTTATCATTAACTTGGGTATTTGACTTTTAACCTGAATGTTACAAAATGAAATGTTGAAATTCTAAAATGAAGGACAGCTACTGCTCCTCCTTTTTAGTATGAGAGCCGATATGGAGAAATCTTCAGCTGTTGTTCTACAGCTGTTTCAAAGCAGTGTGACCTAAAAAACTACAATCCTTAAACTAGCAGGTGAGTGTAGGAGAACAGAATGAGTAGAGCTGAGCTTCTATTAATTGTTGCTGACTCAGCACAGTTTGAAGACTCTGTAGCCTTAGCAGATGTGTCATTCTTGCTTTAGTATGTAAGGGTGAGCAGCAAAGGTGACTGAGCTTTCTTGAACCCCGCTGTTCCCTGCAGGACAGTGCTTGTCTCTGACAAGGGGCTTCTTACTGCAGGAGTTGTGCTGCACTTAATCCATGGCATCTCTGGCAAGGATCTGGAAGATTCAGAGAGTGCTGAATGCTTCATTTTATATTGTGAAGTGGAAAGAGGATAGCAGGCAATCCAGGTTTTCCAGTTCATCCTGTACTGGTCACTCTCGGATGTATTCCAGAGTGTTCATTGTGGTAATGTTATCTATAACTTGAGATCGATTTCCAGTCTCCTTAGCTTCCTTTTTTTAACATCTGCTTACTGAGAAGGGAAGTCGTAATTGCATTGGATAAGTTGTTTGATTTTTCTAAAGATGTAAACTCAGTTTGGCATTGGCTTGTCTAGATGACTTCAAAGCGAAGTTTGCTGCCAGATACCAAAATGCACAAACATAACAGTTCTGTATAACCTTGAGAGTTGTTCCATAACTGTAGATTACATCAATGAGCTTTTGCAGGCAAGTGTGTTCTTGGACCAGGAAAGTACTTCTTCTAACAACAATTTTCCTTTCAGAATAAAGGAATGTCTGTGCAAGTGTCATTGAATGTATCTATTTCCAGAATTATAAGAAAAAATGTCCATATTATATGACAAAAGCTCTATATATGAAAAGCTGTATGTGAAATGTGTATATGTATGAAAAGCTCTACTGTTTACTAATACAGAAAGGAAAACTAATCAGCAAAATTACAATTTCTGTTTTTCTCTTCAGGCAGGTAACAGTTCCATGTTCGCTTCATAAATGAAGCAGCTTAAAGCACATTCGTATTCCTTCTGGAGTGACAGACTGAGTCTGCATCTGTTGTTGCTGCCCATGACTCCATAGACATAATATAGAAATGAGGACAATTTGTGTTTGTTACTGTGAAACGAACACTGAACTGAACAATGACAAGAAGAGTGTGCACTTAGCAGGACTGTATCTTATGTGAATATCTACCTTGTGTGGAATTTGGGAATTTTAATTGCGTTAAGACTTGCAGTGGACTCTTGCAAACAAAGTACATGTCCTGAAGAGAAAGCGTCTTTCAAATGCCTCCAACTATGTGTAATTCTTGAAAGTCATAAATACCTTTGCATCCTTAATTTAAGTTCTGTGTCCTCAACCTTACCTTTGTGTCTTCAGATGGAGTTCTCTGAACTGACAGAAAATGCAGAAATGGATACAGATGACATACTCTTCAGTATTGTATATAAAACTTGAAAGCAAAGTCATGCCGTGGACCCGTGTTCTTGCCTTTTACTTATAAGGAGCTGTGTTTATGCCTGGCAAAGGTTGTGTGTACAGCAACATGTGGTCTCTGTCGGGTGTCAGGTGGCTGGTTGCCCACCCCAGAAAGCCTCAAGAATTCATCAGCATTGGTGGTCTCTGTTAATGAGAAACAAATACTGGATGAAAACAAAGTAAACAGGAGGTGGATATACCTCATGGAGCTTCGAAGCATTGAGAGTAACTGCTGGGTATGTGGACACTGGTGAAATTTCCAGCCGTGCCAAGGGAAGGGAAAGTAAAGAGTCTGAATTGCGTTCAAACATCAGAATAAAGACAAACCCATTAAGTGCATTTTAAATGCTGAAGATGCATGCCATTGATATCTTGTCTTTAAATGTATAGCATAGACAATCTGAAAGATCCTGAGAGCGTATTTAGCTTGTACTTACATCAGCTGTAATTAATGTTTGTGTTGTGTTTTAAGTGATTAGTAAGCTTTAATATCCGACATTCTCCATACTTAAAGTTAATTCTCTCAAAAGAGAAAGGCTTTGTTTCCCACATGTCTTCTGCAACTATTGCTGTTATAGCATCCATGGAATCTGAACAAGACTGATGTACAGACATGCCATTTCAAGTAAATCCTAAAAATACCATGGTAAAAGTTACAAGTGTAGTTGTGCATCTTTTCATCTTGCCTCTCTTCAGACAATGGGTATGAATTATTTGTCTGTATTAGGGGTTTGTACTTCAGAAGATAAGGCAGCTCACTTCAGCCAACAAGCTGTCATCTATCATCAAACTGACCAGGTCAGCAAGAGTTTTAGTTAAAGTAACTTGAAAACTTTTTTAAAAAACCCCACCATTCTCTTAATGTTTTTCATAAAGTTGGAGTTCTGTTTAAGGTATATAGTTACTTAATTTTTTAAGAATTCTTCTGGAAATTTTAATAATCTGCTGAATTTTCTGAGAACCATGCGTAAAAAGAATATGACGTACATGTGTGTATGTGTGTGTGTGTGTGTGTATTATTGGTAAAACCGATTTGTCTTTCATACTTAATCTAAAAGAAAAAACCTCAAAACCTGATTTTTAATGACAGAGTTTATACGTGCTTAAATGTAGCCACTCTGTATGGAATTTTGACCCTACCAAGATCAGTGTCAAAACTTCTTGTGAATTCATGACACGCAATGATTTGATCTTGTGGAACTATTTTTTATTTCTATTGAGGCCTCTTTGCATTTTCTGGGTGTCAGAAAAGGGTCCTCAAGTCCTGCACAGCTGGTATAAATTAGCACAGTTACATGAAAGTTAACAGAGCTTTGAGGTTTGCATCATCTGAGGAGCTTCTCTTAGACTAGATCAAAAGAAGCTTAGTGTGAGGAGTAGGCCCTTCATTTTTGTTCAGAAGATGCTGGAGCACTCACCACTTTTAAGAAATAATTGAGGCTGCTCATTACTTCTAAAATGCAAGAGCATTCCAAGTTAGCTCCGCAAAAATCAAACAGAATCCTCCATCTGCAGCTCAGTTTCATTTGACATTGTGTAGATCTTTGCTCATAAGGCCCTCAGACTTTGTGTTGCAAACTTATTTAACAGTTACTCTGAAAGAAATGTCAGCATGACCTAATTGATACGAAATTTGCACTTTATTGGTAAGGCAGAGAATAATTGGGTATTGGTTTTGACAGAGCAGAAAAGTATCCACAGTAAATGGAAGGAATTATCCTTACACGTTTTACATAAACCTTAAATACTTCAAGTTGCTATACAATATGTTCTCAAATCAAGCTTATGTGTTTGAAGTTTTGCAGTATTTTTCTTAAATTCAGTTAAACAAAAATTCTGTATTTATTAATGTTCTTAGTTCATAAGAATGTTAGTCTTCCTAAATGTTTTTTTTCCCCCAGAAAATCAAATACACAATACTGTTGCACATTAGTGCGCCCCAAATTATACTTTGATATTCAAAATGCACGATGTTTTAAGCTCCTTAGTCTACTGTTCAATACTATAGAAAATATCAGTTTTAAACTGAACCATACATTAAACGCAGATAGACTGCTGCAAAATGTTCACCTTCCAAGAGTAACATCTTAAAATAGTACCTAAATCACTTTCAAATAATGTCAGATACTGTAATCTCTTCTGTGGAGCAAGGCAAATTTAAGGCTACGTGAGAACAAATAGAAAATTAATATGTAACTTCCAGCTTCACATGACAAATATTGTTCTTTGAATATGCACCAAAGTAGTACATGGAGCAGCAGAACTGTTGTTGGAGCTTATGTTTTCCTATTCTCTGCACCCCCTTTTGAGAGAGCTGAACAAAACTTCGGGTGTTTGCAATCGTTCTGCAAAGCAGAACACTTCTAGACATTTGTGTATACAGTGGATGGCATGTGTCCCAGTTTGAGCGTTTAGTGGCCAACCCAGCCCTAAACCATGACAACGTGGCACTTAAAAATATGGTCATGGAATTATTTGGAAGTTTCTTGCCCAATTTGTCTACCCACTGAGGAGGCCCTTACTTTGGATGTAGTGAAATTTTGAAAGCCTTCTGACATGTGAGACATCGTTGAAATCAGTGGAAATAGAATAAGTTACTGTTCAGTGGGAGTGGGGCTGGCAGAAATAGTCCTTTGCTTCTTTAGTCAGTTGTAAGCTATTTAACTTCCAAAGAGTGATCAGTTTTTCAGTCTTCTTTTTGGGTAGACAGAGCCCATGCATTAACACGTTTAGAAAGTGAATGCCCTTTCTCTTGAAATGAAATTGGAGCAAAGCAAGTGTCGTATTTTTTATACAAAAGTCAACCAAATTTGTCTTTCAAATGTCTGTGGTTTTTGTGAGAAACTAACATTTTTAGGTTTCCTTTGGAGTAGTTGAACTTTGCATGCAATTAATAGTGGCCTTGTGAGAATAAAAAGCAGATAGTGATATACTGAGTAACTCAATGTGCTACTTTAGATGTGTGTTTACTTGAATAAATTAATGGTACTTATTTAACCACAAGGTCATTTTATAAGTAAGCTTATAAAATGTCATTTTAAGTAAGCTTATAAAATGTGCCATACTACTGAGTATGTGTACAACCTGCACATTTTTTAGATTCTGATCTTCACCAGCTGTTTTCTCTGTTGCTCTCTCTTTGTAATACACTGAAACTGTTCAGTACACACAATACAACTATTAAATTGAAAAGCTAACTGTACATATAAAATAAAGATATTTTCAGTTAGATTTACATTTAAGAATTATCCAACATTCTTCAGTTCAGGAATCTGGTTCAACTGTCTTATTAAATGCAGATCTACAGTAATGGTGGCATGTTGCTATTATGTTATCAAATTGATGGAACGCGGGAACTTCAGACTCTTTAGTGATAGAGACACAGGCGTTTGCTGGTTGTATCATGGGCAAATTCATTTATTTCAATGTAAATGTCAGCACAGTCTTGCATAGTTACATTCTGACTGAAGGTAATCAACAAAGTTTATAAAATGTGATGTGTATGTATATATGTGTCCTCTTAAAGATAGATGTTTTCCCAGATCCTTTTTTATACCAGTTCAAATTTGGAATTTACATTATATACATATACTTTATTGTTCTAAATAAAGATATTATGCACTGCCAAATAATCAGTATATTGCATTGTGTCAGTTTGGTTTAAGACCTTTTTTTAAATCCTGTCATCTCCTGGAAGATTTTTCTGCCAGAATGTATGGTACTAGATACAGACTTCATAATACAGTTGTTTTCTTAATCATGCATTTTGAAGTCTTGTGCCACCAAAGTATATGTCTGCAATATCAGCCTTAAGTGCTGATCTATGGTGTATCTGTGTTTATGAGAATTATTCCAACTTCAGAATTAAAAGTTCCTTGTAGCTCCTTAATTAGCTAAAATTTGTTTGTGCCCTGCTTTAGGCAGTTTTTCTTGCTGTTAGCCACATACTGGGATTTTAATGTAACTTACTAGTAAAAAGTCTGAATGTTGTTGATGCAATTCTTTTGCAGTAACTGACATTTACAAAAAAATATTACAAATTACAGAGTTTTTCAGCTGAGACCAGAGCTTATCCCATAAGGATGGCATCCTTCCTTTCAAGTTTCGACAGTTTCTTGTGGCTTTTCAGTAAGAAGCCCAAGACAGAGAATGAGGTTGGGAAGAAAAACTGAGCGGT